GGGAAAAAAAATGGTCAGGTCTTAAAAAGTATTAATTTGCCCTTCCACAGACCTTTATTTTTATTTGATAAATTTCTGCACAAAACTATACTGTATGTATATTATATTATAGCACTTGTATATCATTGCTCTTTTGTTGATTTTGATTGCTTCCATTGTCCTCGTTTGTAAGTCGCTTTGGATTGTAAGTCGCTTAGTAATTTAACGTCTGCTAAATGACTAAATCTAATGTATATTTCACGTTTTTTTTTTTTTTTTTTTAATCTCTTTTCATCTCACCCTGAACCCCAGTTTGAAAATCCCTGTCCTAATAGAAATGCAATTGGTTTCATTACTCACCATGACTAAAGCAATAAGCCCAAGAAGCCGACGCAAAGCAGAGTGCCTAAAACCCCCTTAGCTGTTATAAATTCACTGTAAACCACGGCTTCTCGGGGCTTATTGCTTTTATAAAACGGTTATTCCATATACGTAGTAAGGTTTCACAAAATAAAACAGAGCAAAGAAAGTGTAATGCTATTAATAAAAACATTATTCTTCCGCCAAACAATGTAGTTCCTCAGAATCAGTTGTGGTTGCAACAAAGTGGTTTACGAGCAACACACAAACGTAAACAAAGGTGTGTGTTTGTAGAGTAATTTACAACAGCTTCGAACGTGGCTCAGCCAATCAGAATCAAGGACCGGAACTATCCGTTTTATAATAGAACTGTTGGACCTGATGGTGGAAAGTGTGTTTTGATGTTCATCTCTCTCTCTCTGTAGAGTGAAGACAAGCTAAAGCCGGTGAAGGTCGTCCCAGGACATCTACAGTGTTTGGAGCATGCAGTGAAACAGAGTTATTTCCCTCGAGAACACATCACTGTGCTGAACGCTTTCATGGCCAGGTAACCCAACAAACAGAAGCGTTTACCTTTATGAACGTTTTTAGTTATTAACAGCATGTGATGTGTTTGATTATTTTATATACAGGCCGAATAAGTCGCTGGAGCCGTGCAGCAGTGCTCGAGATCGCTTGCAATCCACCCTGCAAAAACTCAAACCTGAGAGCTGAACAATTCTGAAACACACGTGTGCTTAAAAGACCTGCATCTGATTTTTAATATTAAACAGTCATAACAGGTCTTGAAACCTCACCTGATTTCCTGCCTAGTTTATCTTCCATCTAAGCCAACATTCAGATTTATAAAAACAATCTTTAACATGGAAAAGTGCTTAGCGCCGGGGCATATCATCTATTTCAGAATTGAGGGGGACAGAAAGTTCGAGTGTAATATTGGTTTATTCGAATGATAATATATATACAGTGGGGCAAAAAAGTATTTAGTCAGCCACCAATTGAGCAAGTTCTCCCACTTAAAAAGATGAGAGAGGCCTGTAATTTTCATCATAGGTATACCTCAACTATGAGAGACAAAATGAGAAAAAAAATCCAGAAAATCACATTGTAGGATTTTTAAAGAATTAATTGGTAAATTCCTCTGTAAAATAAGTATTTGGTCACCTACAAACAAGCATGATATATAATATATATCAGAATATAGTTACTTTTGCTATGAATAAAGTTCCTATGACATCAAAATTGTTGATACCACTGAAATTTCATAAAGCTTATCACCAATTTATCACCAATCTAACTGCCATATTTCACAAAATGATCTACACATATAATTCTTTTTTTATATTATATTATATTATACAGGCCAAAACGATAAAGACTATTGTAAGAAATTATAGTCTGCCTCGACCCAGCTTCCACTCCAAATTGTGTATTAAACTATGCTCCTTTCTCTACAAAGAGCTTAATTATCATATAGATAGTTCTTTCCGATCTTAATCATATGTAAATATTAACATTACCTCCAGAGATAGCGTGGGAGAAGCAGCAGGTCGTCAAGAACCATCTGCTGACCAAAAGGGTACATGAAAGAACTGCTATGGATTCTGTTTAATCTTATCACCTTAACTTTTGGTTCTTCCCACTTGAGTCTACCGAAGATGTGGGAACGGAAGACTATCACTTTAATTGTCATCCGCAATTTACATTTAAAACGAAACTTAATTTACATGTTGAGAGGGAAGATAAACGTAATACTGTATAAAATGATTGAGCTTAGGATGTTCGGGGTTCAGTCTGACTCCGTTGAACCCAAGGTACTACATGTACTTTGTCACTACTATTCTGTAATAAAAGGTATTCTTCATCAAGATCTTCGACGTCTTCACTTTTTCTTACACTATTGTGGGCCCTGACATGTCCGGACATGTCAAATTATTTACCATGCTTTATGGAAGCTTTCCATAGACATAATTAATTTCAGTTCATGTTTATTTGTATTGCGCTTTTCACAACACAAATTATTGCAAAGCAGCTTCACAGAAATTAAAGTTTCTACAATATATTTAGAAACTTTTAGATTTATATTTACATTATATTAATGAATTTTATACGGTACCACCCCTAAACCTACCCATCACAGTAAACTTTCTGCATTTTTATTTTTTAATAAACACAATTTATCGTTTAAAAAGCTGTTATACTCATGGGTACAAATGTTGCTCCGGTCAAGCATTTGAAGTATTACTACACAACAACAGAACCACACACACACACACACACACACAATTTAATATATAAAATACATTTATTCTTATTGAAAGATGTATATAAATAAAAATATGATAAATATAAACCATCTTACATTTTTCCATGAGAAAAAGATTTCCTTGTGCAAGGATGTCCATTCTGCGAATGAAAGGTTTATAAAAATGTGCTTAGTTTAAGTTGAAACACAAAACTGCAGCATGAGCGCTCTTCACACAGCATAAGTCTCTGCCAAAATGGTGTGTCACTCGACATGACGGGGGCGGGGGTGATTAGAAGTGTCAGATATGGGTAATAGTTTTGCACTGGATGCAACCTCTAATGATTTTCTCTGTTTAAAATGCACAATAGGTTATTCTGTGTGCAATGCATGTGCGTCTTCCAACACGAATCCCCATCCACAACGCCTTTGGGGCGTGCATGCTGTGACAATAGCATAGAGGCCATTGTTCAAAATACCATTCATCAACCATAAGGCATATTGCTCCTGTGGCTCAGTGGTAGAGCATTACGTAAACAGCGCAAAAGGTTGTGGGTTTGATTACCAGTGAACACACATACTGGTAAAAAATGTACAGCCTGAATGCACTGCAAGTCATTTTGGATAAAAGCATCTGCTAAATGCATAAATAAAATTATTGTGGACCTCGTCCATGTGTCCATGTTTTATGGAGTCTTTCCATAGACATAGTGGTTTTAATACTGTATCAACACCTAAACCTACCCGTCACACTAAACTTTCTGCATTTATTTTTGTATTATATTTTTTAAAATATAATTTACTATATTATTTATGATCATGGAGACAAATGTTGCTTAATTACATTCTTGAGAAACAGATATTTCTGTAGGGTGTGACTTACTCTAAGGGTCCTGTAGTGTTTTTAATGAAAGGTGTGGCAGTATATGGATTGTCAAAAATAAAAAGGTACAAAAGCTGTCACTGTGGTACCCTTTAAACAGGTCCACCTTATATTTATTTATAAAGGATGCATAGTAGTACAGTATCTTAAAGGTATATATAAGTAAATATTCTGATCATCATTAACTTGAATTGATTTTTTTTCTGCAGGATGCACCCGTACTGATTTCCGTCATTTTTTTTACAACCACTTCTCTAAGAACTAAACCCTTCCAACACCAACAAGCACTATTTGGAAATATAATCGTCTCTCCTAGCACTAAATCAACCAAATTAATTTCTACTAGTAGCAAAAGCGCTGAACTTTCTGATGGATTAGGAATGTGGTTTGATGAGATCTGGAACAGGTTAAAGAATGTCCCAGTGCTGCAGGCAAGCAACATACAATCAGTTCCTTAGAACAAACACCCAAAGCCATCAAAAGGTAATAAATATAGTGCTCATTGTTTCTGCTGGCATTACATTTCTGAGGAACATATTTTAATTTCCAGTGAAAATGTGATTACACTAAATTAATGTTGGAATGAAGTCAACACATCTGTCTTGTTCTCCTCAGTGTTCTGAGATCATTAACAAAAAAAATGCTAAATATATAAAAACCTATATAACCTCATAAATTTTAGATACCCGTAAAGGACATGGTAATAACTTTTCTGCAGCATTATAAAAACACATTTGGTTAAAAATTGTCATATGATCAAATGTTAACATTATGTTTTCAGTTGTGCTTCAAAATTGAATGCTCTCATTACAAACACCTCACCATCCAAACAAAAGATGAGAGCATTTTATCTTGGGCAGATTTATTGTTATTATTATTTTCCACTTGTTTTAAGCACTGGCATAAACTACAAGTTCTGCTTATGCAGATTTGACATCAAGTAAACTGATCATGTTTTCTTTAGGTTTTGAAATAAAATACACATTTACTTTTGAAAGAGATTTTAAAAACGTAATTTAAATACGAGACAACAAGATGTTTAAAGGGGTCATATGATGCGATTTCAAGTTTTCCTTTCTCTTTGGAGTGTTACAAGCTGATTGCAAAGAGTGATTCTGTAATAACATTTATAAAGCAGGCTATTATGCATTGTGTTTGATATGAGATATATAGCTGAAAGCATCCTGGTGTTGAGACATGAGATCTGAGCCGAACTGAAGACAGCATGTCTATCTTGGTTTTCTTTTGCTTTATTCATTAATTAATCATTTGAAGCACAGGTATTAGGATATGATATATTCAGATACAAAAACAAAGCAAATTAAAGCTGCAAGCAGCGATGAACGGGCCCTCGCACCCGGGCTCGTATAAAAGTCCACTAAACAGCAGCACACAAAATATAAAAAGACAACAACAACAGTCTATAAATTTCTTTCTTTAACAACATGAGAATCAGATTTGAAAATTCACCAAAAGTTTCAACAAATTCCAACAAAAGACATAAATCACAGTTTTGATGATCAGTTTCTCCTCATACTTAAACATCTTTTGATTAATTTGCTAAAACTATTATCACAACTGAGATATTAACTGTTAAATAATTAGAAATTCACAATGCTTAGATATGGCAATATGATTTATTTACATATTTAGACGACAGTTTTACTGTTGTTTTATTTTGCAATCCAATCCCAGGATAGAGCGGCTGAGTGAATGTGGTCTGGACTCTGTGGATGAGACTTATTGTGTCAGAGACACTTAAAAATGACAGCATTCCTGCGCTGTGATCCACATACACTTCTATTTTACGGCTGGACACCACAGGGAGCACAGTCCGTATGGTATTGTGTCTAAAAGAGCAACTGGAGTTACAGCAGTACAATCTCCAGGACTGATCATTATATCCAAATCGACTATCGCCACTCTTTCCCTTCCTCTTGATGCTCTTATATGCCACTGCTATATGGACACCTTCATTACCGCCGTACTCAACCTCCCAGTAACAGCGTCCACTGACACTCTCTGTACACAAGGCCTCTATCCAATAGTCAAATCTGTCAGGATGATTGGGATATCTGTAATTACAGCTGGTGGAAGTGATCACTGTGTTGTCCTCAGACAGACGGAGACTTGAATATATTGTGTTCGAATCCAATGTGAATGGATGGAAATCTGATGAAAATAAACATGATCTGCATGTAAATAATAAAGTATGACTTTAATAATTAAGATAGTTGAGTATTTTAGCAAGATTAATAAAGACGTAGGAAAACGTTTTCATGCGTTTTCACTCATTTAGCAGGTATTCCAGAAAGCATTTACAATGAACCTTTCATAAAACTACTACACTTACATGCTTTCCTCGACAACTGATTTGGAATTGCCTCAATTCCCCCCTAAACTGGTAACCCAAAGTTTGTGTTCTCCCAAGGCATTCCCAACTATGTAAATTAATGCTAACAAGACAAGCATGCCAATCTTCTTCGGTTTTAGGTTTTCTTGACTTTGAACAAGGATTCAAAGCTACTCGCTACAAGGTAGCCCTATTGTGTGCACATACACTGACATACAAAACTCTATCCTCTTGTTGAAGGAAATGGCCATGCTGTTTACTTCATCAAATCATCTTTTTTTCACCAAATCTTTTTATTTTCTTTCTTTAATTATCTGAAGCTATAGTGTTAGTGGCCTTTCACATGTCACGTCTTGTGCGTGCTCAAGTTTCAAACCAAACCAATTCCTGTCTAAATGAATGGGGGAATCCTGAAATCTCAAAAACTGCCTGCTGAACTCACAATTAGATTATATATTTCAAATCGACAACAAAATTTGAAATGATAATCAATGAAAAAATCTTGACCAGGGGGGCATCAGGTACTCGCAGACAAAAAAATATGGGTGCTCCAGAGAGGGAACAAAATGTCAAAAATGAAAAGTGGATCCTATTTCAAAATACACAAAAAAAAACCTTTATTCTAAGACAGGGCTACATGTAGCGCCTATGAATTTTGTTTGTAATTTGCAATAGGATCAACTTTTCATTTTTTTAAATTTAAATGAATTGGCCCATAAATGCTGTTCCTTATGCTCAAATAGCATTTACAAAAGCTTATTTTTCAGGCTAGACTTGCCAATGCGCATGTGCAGTCCTAAGCAGAAGTCTCGGGTTTCAATGGGAACTGGAGCTTCTAACAGCAGCTTCAGTGACGTTACTAATCAGTGATTGGCTGTTTTATTCAGAAGGCGGGGCAATTTTGCCATATTGCATGTTGCAGTTTCTCCCATTCATAAGTAATAGGAGTGAACTGTCTTTTTATATCAATAGTCTTTGATATAACGCCTTTAGTGTCAGTTGCTAGTGCACCTCTTGAGATCAGGAGAGTGAGGTTTACATGGTCTTTCTGGCCTCTGTTACACTAGCAGCAATAATAAAATGCTTCAATCTCCTCCTCTAATGTTATGTTTATTTGGAAGGCTTGTGGGATTGCAGCCGGCTCACCAGTTCAGTCATGCTATGTACTGCTTCAACACGATTAAACTGACTTGTGTCCAATTGCTATGGTTCTGGAGCAATTCTGGAGCAACCCCTAGTAAGATCATCATGTTTAATTATGTATATCTCTCAATGATTGTCAGTGTTTGTGTGTGTTTTTGGAGTAACTCACATTGTAGAAACTCCTCTCTGGTCTCATATTCTGGAGCAATAATGACCTGGATGGTTTTCACTACAGACACCAAAACATATTTGCAGATGAATTCTCATGTCAAGAGGAAATTCATATTTAATGAATAAGAATAAACAAATCCCTAGAAATCAACCTGTTTCAGTTATCTTTTCTGTCTCTCTGCAGAACTGCTGCAGTTTGTCTCGGAGTTGAAAAACTGATTTCATTACATCATCAAAAGAGAGATGAGGACTGACGCTGTAGCCGTCTGTAGATCCAGAGAGAGAGACAGTGGCAGACGACAAACTCTGCAGACACAAGCACAAACACAAACTCTATGTAATCACAAAAGCCTGTTGAAGTCCTCAGTCCTCTGTGTTTGAGAAGATAACTGTTACCTGGAGGAAATTAACATGATCCTGTGTCTCTGAAAGCTGCTTGGAGCAATAATGACCTGGATGGTTTTCACTACAGACACCAAAACATATTTGCAGATTAATTCTCATGTCAAGAGGAAATTCATATTTAATGAATAAGAATAAACGAATCCCTAGAAATCAACCTGTTTCAGTTATCTTTTCTGTCTCTCTGCAGAACTGCTGCAGTTTGTCTCGGAGTTGAAAAACTGATTTCATTACATCATCAAAAGAGAGATGAGGACTGACACTGTAGCCGTCTGTAGATCCAGAGAGAGAGACAGTGGCAGACGACAAACTCTGCAGACACAAGCACAAACACAAACTCTATGTAATCACAAAAGCCTGTTGAAGTCCTCAGTCCTCTGTGTTTGAGAAGATAACTGTTACCTGGAGGAAATTAACATGATCCTGTGTCTCTGAAAGCTGCTTCAGCTCAGCATCTTTCCTCCTCAGCTCATTGACTTCCTTCTCCAGTCGGTATGAAAAGATAAGCATGGCCCAAAATTCGGATGTTTGATAAAAGTCCTGGTCTGAAGACATCTACATGCCATTATTCAGTTATAGTCATAGCGCCACCAGCTGGCAGCAGGGACCCTGGCTACTTGTACCTGTGGTATGTGGTGCGACAATTACATTTTCATGCTTGTTTGAGGTTTCAAACATCAAAATGAATAAATTATGACAGGGTTTGTGAATAAGTTTTCTTTCTTTTGCATTTTTTCCATTATTTCTTTTCAAATCTCACCTTATGAGACGCCACAGCCTCCCTCAGCTCCTGAATGTCTTTGTCTTTCTTCTGGATTTTCTGGTTAAGTTTTATCTGCGTCTCCCCCAAATGTTTCTGCATGAAATAGAAAAACTTGAGGTTCAGGTTTTCCTCAGGATGCATTAAATCACCAGACTCTGTCCTAACCAGTCTAACAGCACTGTGTTCTTTATAACTTTCGTCTTTTTCACTGTAAAGACAATAAATCTCAAAGACCCCAAACTTTTTGAGATGATCCCGAATATCTCCCACTACTCATACAAGTACACAGACACCCAGCCGATAGATGGCACTACAATGAGCTAATTTATGTTTCTGCTGATAACTCAGGAACCGCATTAGTTAGTCTGTTTTTAATCAAGTGCCCGTGAATATGATCAAATGGATTTCCATTGCTTGGGAAACTTACCTGTTTCTCTGTCCTCGCTGTTGCAGTTGATACAGTGTCATGATTTTTGTGTTCATCCACCAAACACAGCATACAGATACACTGCTGGTCAGTACGGCAGTAAATTTCCAGGATTTTATCATGACGAGGGCAGATCATCTCCTGCAGTTGTCCAGTGGCATCCATCAGATTGTGTTTTTTACCTTTGAAGAGACTCTCATGCTGTTCAAGGTGATTTTGACAGTAAGAGCTTCGACACTCCAGACAGGATTTCACTGCTTTCTGTTTAATTTCAGTGCAGGAGTCGCACTGAACACCTCCAGATCCAGTATGAACAGAAGCAGGGGGATCAGCAGGAGGATCAGCAGAAGAAGCAGGAAGAGGAGTAGCTTGGAGCCTCGTCGTCTTGAGCTTCTCCACCATTTCAGCAACCATCATGTTTTTACCTAAAACAGGTCTTGGCGTGAAGGACTGTTTGCATACAGGACATCTGTAGATTCCCTTCTGATCGTCCTGATCCCAGATGTCTGTGATGCATTTCTTACAGTAATTGTGTCCACAGAGAATCATCACTGGATCCTTCAGCAGATCCAGACACACTGGACAAATTAACTGGTCCTGATCCACTGATATATGAGTTTCTGTCATTTCACTGTATGAACACAGACAGAGAGACGATACACACTGCAACTCGACAGTTCATTTCCTCCTTACAGGAGGGTTTATATAACCTCCTGATTACATTCTTGCGAAACAAGTTTTTCTGTAGGGTGTGACTTACTGTAAGGTTACATGTAGTGTTTTTTGTTGTTGTTGTTGTTGTTGTTGCAGTATATGCACTGTCAAAAAAAAGGTACAAAAGCTGTGACTGTGGTACCATTTAAAATAATCGGATCGTGATTAAATCGCGATGAAATCATTTAGTGCGATTATGAAATCGAGAAAGCTGTTATGTAGTAGTAGTTGTAGCCCTTTATTGTCACTGGTCACAGGTACCAGCTAAATTAGCCATCCACCTGTCCATACACTGGACACTGCAGAAAGTTTAGTCTCTATGTTACTGTGCCAGAATGAGCAACAGTCTGGAGAGCAGAACAAACTCCAGGATTGATCGTTACGTCCAGCTGCACTCAGAGGACCCTCTTCCTTCCTGCTGATGCTCTTGTACGTCACTGCTACATCTACTCCCAATGAGCCATCTCCGCTCCACTCCACCTCCCAGTAACAGTGACCAGTCACACTTTCTCTACACATCGCCTCGGTCCAACAATCAAATCTGTCCGGATGATCAGGATTCGACTGGTATTTGTCAGCAAAAGCCAACACTGTGTTTCCCTCAGACAGACGGAGCCAATTATTCACTGAGTTTGGATCCAGAGTCAACAGGTGGAAATCTAAAGAAGATGCATGCATAATTATTTTGAATCTTTGCTAAATGTGCAAAAACAAGCATTTAACTGGTAACATAGTATGTTACTGCTAACAGTAATGTGTTACCGAACTGTGTTACAGTTACCATGACAAGCATTTGCACATATGAAATCTATTAAGCATGTGTTGAATGTTTTAAAAGTTTAATATGGACTTGTTTGCTGTTGTATAAAATGGCTGTAGTCAAAACAATTGAAATTCTCAGCAACCAAAGGTGTTTTTCTCTACTGTAAAGCGCCGTCACTTATTGTCACTGTGCGCCACTGACACAACCCATTTGTATATTATTTGAAGCCTGCCAAGTTACAAAAACAAGTGAAAACAATCCTATAGCATTAATTAAGTGAAAAACAAAAAACACTCAAGCTCTTCCACAAAAGTGGATCTTAGACTTTGTGCTTTCACAGTAACTCACACTGTAGAAACTCTTCTCTGGTCTGATATTCAGGAGTCAGAACGACCTGTACGGTTTTCACTATGGATATCAAAACACATCTGCAGTTTAATTCTCATGTCAAGAGGATATTAAATAAACAACTGTTTTTATATTTATTGAATGGCACTGAACATATTTCTGACAATAATTTAAACCTAGAAACCTCTAGAAGACATCTTCTCTGCCTCCTCTTTGCAGAACTGCTGCAGTTCAGGCACATGACACACAACCAAGTAGATATAACTGCAGACCGGAGATCTCCAAAATGGGGCGTGAACTCCAAAAGTGGGAAGAACCTCCAAAATGGGGCGGGGTCTCCTCACCGCAAAGACTTTCACCATTGGCTGTGGCTCCAGCCAATTGTTATTGACTTGCATTTCAAAATAAAACTAGTTTCTTGTTTTCTAGTTAATCTAAAATAAAATATGCTATATAAATAAATATTCTCCGTGAGAGCAGAGCCCAAAGCTCGTGGCCAGTGTTGTTCAGACTGGAGTTTGAACCTTTGCTTAATGATATAAACGGGAATCACCCACGAGCTCTCCCGCAAGCCGTCCCAGGGCAGCTCAGGGGAAAGATTTTACTCTATTGCTTTGTTCTAAGCAACGGGGGCATCCTCCCGTTTTGGAGTTCCCGCCCCCATTTGGAGATCTCCAGGCTGCAGTTATACCCTTCTCATTTTTTTCCCCCAATCCACTTCAGTGCAAACTTTGCCAAAACAACTCCGCAGTGAGTCAATGTCATGGACGCAAGGGCAGAGCAAGCTATATCTTTCTAGTCTATATTTCCATCTTGTAATTCCGCTGTTTTGGGTATTTTTAAAATATAAATTATTTATATAGAGCAGACACCGACTGTTGTTCATGTAACGTTATTTATGTTCTCATTTAGCTAGACAGCAGATGCTGAAAACACGCACTTCAGTATGTGTGTAGTAAACGAAACAGCGTGTCTGTGCCATTCATTCCTAAAGAGACATGCAGGATTCATATTTAAATTGTATTTTTGTAGCTTAATATTTACAGATCAGTCAATATTGCGATTTGATTAATGACCTACTTTTGATTTATTCACCCAAACTTTGACAAATTCCATGACATTCCGCGTTATACAGTAAATTCTGTTTTTATGACTGGATTCCGCGATTCCGTCCGCGTTTTCCGCATGGCAGAAATCATAGGGCCATGGGTTCTATTGTCTTTTGTCACGTCGCACCACGACGCTCTCGTCCAGTGTAGACACGGTGTGAGTTTTTTAATGGCTTAGTTTTAGCCCTGCTTGTTTTTAATGTTTTTATTAAATATCTGTATTGATCATATCATCGTATTATTTACTGCCATCTGCCATGCGAGCCACACATTAAAGCTTGGCGAGCCGCGCAATGAGTAACACTGCTCTACATCATCAAATGAGAGACGAGAGCTGACAGTAAAGACATCTGTAGATCCAGAGTGAGAGACAGACGAAACTCTACAAACCCAAAGACAGGATCAGTATGAATGATTTCTGAAGTAGCTGTGACACTGAAGACTGGAGTAATGATTGTAATCATGGAGTAATCATGGAGTAATGAATGATTTTACATTTGAAACTGTAATAATCAATTTGGACAATGAATGCTGTTAAACAGATTAAAACCGAGCAAGATATGCCTCGTCATATTTTCTGCAGACCGCTATAAAACACCAAATGGCCAATAATTACAGTTCTTTTCATTTGCTAACATCCCTTTGTCCAATCTGTAGTCACATTTTCAAAACTCTACACACAATTAGCACAACATCTGTCTGTTGTGACCATACCATTAACACAATTCATGTTGTTTACACACAATATTCAGTCAATTAATACATTTCTAAAATGCTTAACATTTCTTACAAGCTTACCCCATAACAAAATAATGGATCTTTCTTATCTTTTTATTTTTTTTTATTTTACAAATGCTTAAACACAGCATGACAAAAATCAAAACCTAATGCTCCAATCTTTAAATATAGTGTTAAACCTCTACTTCTGCAATAACAGCCGCTTACAGTTTTTTTAATTGCTTTGGCGCAATTTTCAGAAGCAATTGGTAAATTTTCAAAACTCTTAGTACCTATATCACAACAGATCATCAAAAGTGCACTTTTTTCAAACATTTCAGCATATTTTCAATTGTGTTAGTACAACACACAATCACAAAATATCCTTTTCACTACACAAAATAAGTGTTTCATCTATATAAATGTTTCATTCACAGTAACTGTCTTTCATAAAGCTATTACTATCAAACTTTTGATTTGCATCTCTTATCATTCAGTTTAATATATTTGTCTATCATTTAATTCAACTTATCTTAAAACTCAAAATTCATTCAAGGCATTCGAAATTGTAGACGTCAAAAATGCTTCTGTATGCTTTTTATATTTATATAATTTAATATAGTTAACTTAATCTATATCACACAAAGAGTACCGTTTTTCTGCAGATATCAGCATGAACACATTTAATAATCATTTTATACAAGTTCAGTAAAGCAATAAGTGACTTACATTTTAGACATAATATTGCTTGTTTTTGCTCAATTTTGCCAACGAAAATAGTTCCAAACAAAGATCACAGCACTGTTTTGCATCTCTGAGCAATGGTGTTTACTTATTGAATGAATCAGCTTTTTGAACGAATCGGTTGAATAAATGATTCAGCGATTCACTCATTAACTCAGTCAAATGCTTTGTTCATGAATGAATCAGTCGTTTGAATGAATCGGTTGAATCTCAATGACTCACTCATTAACAGTCACTTGCTGTCACCTACTGGCGGTTTTAATTTCACATTTCGACAATTTTTTTCATGTTTTAAATTATTTCAAATATCAGTATTCAACGTTTTATGTTAAAAACAAAACATTAGGCCTATTTATGCATCTGTAACTGCAGTTTAAATGCATCCATGTCCCCTCTAAGATGCATAAACTGTGTAAATACATCTAAATGCTATTTCAGATTCAGATTCCAGAAATGTTTTCTTATGTTGGAATGAAAGACACTAGGTGAAGTGCTTCTTATTCTTATCCAAAAATACAAAATAGAAGCTACTCAAGCTGTTTATGAACATTTTTATATATATATTTATTTGCGTCTTTTCCATTTTGCATTTACAAGTACTTTCACTTTCAATACTTAAGTACGTTTAAGATTTAAAAAATACTTTTCGTACTTAAGTACAATAAATATCACATACTTTAAGACTTTTACTCAAGTAATATTCTATACGGTGACTTCAACTTCTACCAAAGTCATTTTCTGGTAAGATATCTGTACTTTCACTTGAGTATGGCTTTCATGTACTTTATACACCACTGGACAAAAGTGCTGCAATGAATTCATTTTGACAACTAATAGAATGTTAAACACTGACTGTTTTTCAGAGTTCATTGATCATATAAAATTGAGTGAAGGTTGACTAGTTATCTGCATGTCTCATCCATGAGTGGGCCTATGCAATGATGGAGAACAAGCAATGGTGCAATGGTGGAAACACATGTTTGTGAATGGGCATTTGATTTACATTTGAGAGAAACTAAGATTGTAAACAAGCATACAAACTAGCCACTTTTCACTGAAAGTTGCCATTGTAATTCAAAATAGGCCATCTGTGTAATTCAAATAGATTCAATGAGTTGAAAACTCTTGCTACTTCATACTTCAATACAAAACAATGCTGAACTTTGACAAAAAATAGATTTTTAAATGTTATAATAGTGATTTTATAATGTCTAAATATAAATCCATTAGCAAAACATGTGAAAAGAACTATATTACAGAGT